AGAATTAGGCACATATGTTTTAAATCAAGCACTGATTAGAAACCCTCCCCCAGTCTTAGAAGTGGCCTTTTAAAAGCGCCCAGTGCTGTGGTGCATACATTTGTATAAATGGTGAAATGCATGCATGTCATCACTGAGAAAATGGCAGTGGCATGCTTTTGAACTAAAACGCATCAAAGGTGTTTTAGTTCAAAAGTGCACCGCCGCCATTTTCTCAGCACTAATGTGCATTTCACCATTTATACAAATGCATGCAACATGGCACCGGGTGCATCAGCTCACATGCTCTGCAAACTCAATTAATCGAGTCTGCTCTGACGTGCTGGATTTCCAAGGTATGTGTATAAGTGCCCACTGTGAGCAGATTAGGTTTACTGAAGCTGTCACTGCCATCTGTAGACCACATCTATCTATTTTCTGCACCATCCACCTATCTACTTATTTGTCACCCAGCACCTCAAATCTAGGCATCACTCCTTATCAGAAATCACCCCTTTGAACTAAGCGAGGATGGGAAACTTGCAGCTCATCCATTATACAGAAAAGGGCATGACTACAATCGCATGTTGTAAGGACTCTAGGAATCATGGAGCACATTTTGATAATTCTTCTTTGGAAGATAGTTTGCTTTCTTTGCAGACTCTTAGAACCTGAAAGACTTTTCTGTTAGTCAGAACTATCCCATTATAGGATCATAAAACTAATTTCTAAAAATTTCTGAGAGATTAGTGATAAAACTAACATGCCTTTCATCCCATTTTTGAGTTAATCCCCTTAAAGTAGTAATACAACAACTAACTTCAAAAGTAATTGACTTCATATGCTATATACCATGAACTGCAAAAGTAATTATATTACTATATCTGGCCAGTTGCTTTAAATGTCCCCTGGTATAAGCAGAAGGAGCACTCTGGTAGAAGTAGGCTTTTTCCCCCTTTTTGAATGTATACTCCATATTATTTCTGTAAAGCCCTATCTTTCTGCCTGTGAAGAATCTTGTTAGAAAGTACTGTAACATTTCATTCAGCCCTTGATTTGAAGATAGCTCCATCTTTAGGGGCTTCTGGGAAACATGAGTTGTGAAGTTTAAGCTACAGAAAGTAGATTTCCTATCCGCTCTAAATCTGATCCAGTTCAGGACCTTGTTCCAGGATAATAAATTGGATTTTCCAATTAATGAGTGCTCATTTAAAAAAAATATATGTTCCTGAACCACTGAATATTGAGAGAAGTTAAATGCAACATTTTAATAATGCAGCCCTGCTCTTAATAAATATCAAAACACTTCTCTGCACTGTGCTGTGCCATCTGAATTAGCACGAGGGCTGCCCTAATGGAAGTGAATTAACTGCTAGAAGAATGAGCCCGGCTGCAGTCAGGTCCCTTTGTCTTTTAGGTTATTTATTACATATATATGAATGTTCCTTGGTCTAGGCTTCAACTTGAAGACCTTCATTCAAAGGCCTCTATTCCTTTGTCCCAAAGGCAGAAATTAGAGCATGATCCATACTGCCTGGGAGCCCAAAAGAAAGGATAAGAACAGAAGACTGATGTGTTAGTGGTGGGTGATATTTTCCCTTCCGCAAGGTCAGGGCTCTGCTTCAGTTTCCCATAAAGGGTTGCAGGTGGGAGTTGAGAAGTGCATAGGGTTAGTGCTAATTCTTCAAACAGAGGTGAATTTCTCCTATGATTGCTACAACAAGGGGCCTGTGGAAAAGAATTAACATATTCTTCATAGGAGTGGTAGATAACAAGGTGGTAGATAACAAGGGCCTAAATCCATGGTGTAATGTTTCTAGTCAGCACATTTTGAGTGTGTCTGCATGTCACTGTATGGGGTTTGAGCAGGGTGACGTTACTATGGCGCTGTGCTTTAGTACTTTTGGAAGTACTAAAGCACAGCGCAGTACAGGTGGTTACTGTGCCACGAGTGTGGCGCTTGGGTAGATTTAGTAGCATGCTATGCCCGGGAAATGTGCTGCTATGGCGACGTAGTTAGTGGTCATGTGTACGCACACATGATCACTACATCGCCATAACATGCTACACAGCAATGTAATGCATTGCTATATTGCTGTAGGGCGACGTGTAGACACCCCCTTTGAGTAGCATATTCAAAATAAAACAAATCAGTGTTTGCTGAGTGGGAGTTTTGCCCCAGCTTCTCTGGGGCCAGATTTAATCCAACACCAATTGCTTTTGAAAACCCCACTATCCATTTCTGTGCACAGTCACAGAAGCTGTGAATGCACAGTCAAGCTGAAAATGGATACACAGACAGTGGCTTTCAGGTCTTCTGGTTCACGTGCTGCACAGTAAGAACAGATTACTCCCATAAACATGTCTACTTGGATTTGAGCAGCACTGGCAATTGGGTCATAATCACCTCGTTTTCATGTTCTTAGTGGAATTCACCCTTGGGGGTCCTTACAAAGTAGTTACCACTCTCTGTGAACTAGATAGAACTTTCAGAATTCTTCCTATGCTGCTTATTGCCATATGGCAAAGCTTTGAGTCTTACTGCAGATCTACACTGTGTCATTGCTGCAATGATAACTCTGTGATTTCTTATGTGCAACCACAGGCCTTTGAAATAACACTCCCTGCCAGTGGAGGGAAAGGCTCGAACAAGCGGATCACCTACACAAACCCCTACCCCTCCCGGAGGATGTATTTCCTGCATACCAACCGGCCCGACCTGCTGCAATTCAAGGAGGATTCCTTTGAGGTAGTGAGCCCTACAGCATGGCTGACAAGCTTGTGTTAGTCCAGTCAGGTTCTCCCCAACTTTTAAATCTCATATTCTATAGTCAGTGAGTTTTTCCAAACTTTATGGGCCAGATATTCAGAAATGCCACTCCCATGGACTTCAGCAAGTGCGGGGGGAGGTGAGCCCTTTGGAAAAATCACTTCCTAAATTCCCATTCCCTGTGTCACAGTCTGCTCTTGTCAGTAAGTTTGACTTGGAAAACTAGACTGCATGTTCTTTTCATAACAAATCTCCTGTGTTTGCTTATTGAGACTGAAAATATATTAGCAAAAGTAGCAGGACTAATTTGCTGTGAGCAAACACACACCCACTGGAGTCTGAAAACCTCATACCTCTCTTGTTCTCTGTCAGTTCAGACGGTTGGGGTCTCTGAGACCAAGGCCTAATAGACACCCATCCATGCCTGCTATTAGCACAGTTCCCAGGCTTAGCTCTCGTATTAATGGGAGCCAAACCAGTGTGGAAAGAATGGAGAATGGAGATATTGATGATTAACACTGTCGTGTCACTCTTCTCACAGCTCAGAGGTGGGGAGGTGTACACCATCGGCTTGCGGTTTGCACCAACCCAGAACACTGGTGAAGAGGAGATTCTGATTTATATCAATGACCATGAAGATAAGAATGAGGAAACCTTTTGTGTGAAGGTTGTCTACCAATAAAGAGGGGTCCTTGCCTGGGGGTCAACAGAACATGCTCCTACAGCATCAATCAAAACTTTTACCTTAACAGCACCACCTACCAAGAAACACAATCCTGTTTTCATTGCTGGCTTTAGATGTTTTTCCTCACTATAAATTTTATGTTTCTGCTTTCTCCTTGACCATGTTATTTGCAGATGAATAGCCAGCTGAGCACCTCTGCACACCTAACCCAGAGACTCAAAGGATATGTTCCTTTGCTGTTTGCAATTTGCCTCTATCTAATCACGTCGTTGCCAAGTCACTATGATTTATTGTCTCACTGAATTCCTTGCACATAGCATGACCTCCAATGATGTAAAATTGCTGTATTTGTTTTCCTCCTACTTAAGACTATAAGTATGTATGTGTGTATTTATAACATATGTCATAGTTTAGAAGACTGACACACTTTATATTATGCTTTACTGTATTTTTGGCTTATTTAAATTTTTTTAAACCCCCCCCAAATCCCAGATTTTGAAAAAACTGAATTTCCTGAATATTTTTATAAGAGTATTTTTTCTCTACTCAGTTTTGTACAGAAAGATAAATCACTTTTACAGGAGATTAGATGCTTTTTACTCCTTTTTATTCTGTAATTAAACTATTTGACAGAACTTGCACAGCACTGCGGAGCTTTTTGTTACCAGTCTTTTCCTAATGCAGGCAGGCAGCTCCCCACAGGCTGATGGGGTGAGCCTTAGAGCTGTCCTTCCTCTTGGCAATGTGGACAATTATCCCTTTAAACAGTTTACCAATCAGAAGCATTGCACAAGTCTGTCCTTTCTATGGAGGCTGGAGAGGCTTGAGTTTAGTCTGATATAAAGAGCTCCTGCATGGTTTGACTGGAGAGAAGATAATCTCTTCTAAAAATGAGAGCTAGTATAGCCCCAGCCATTGGAAGCAGGGGTTTCTTTTCCTCCTGAATAAACAGCATTGAGATCTGGTATTGGTTTTAGGGCAGAGGAACCTTTTATGTCTCAGGCAGAAGTTACTGAGCTGGAAAGCAAGCATACGTCAGGCAATTTTACCTGCAGTCAAGGAGCAGAATGTGAGGTGTACTATTAACAACCAGGACTCTTAGAGTATGTCTACACAGTGCATAGTTGCCTGCAGAGACCACAGAGCTATTGGTGATTAAGACTATGTCCATTCTGTTTGTCACAGGTTGCTATTCTGTATTTTATCACCTGGTGCTTTGGCTTCTGGGTGACTGAATGGTGCTCCCACACCAGCTTCTTGCTTAACAAGACACATCTCCCTGCTTAATGCCCTCCCTAAGTAAGAGCCATCTTCTTCCCTGGAAAATCATGCACAGAGGCTTTCAAACAGCTCCTTGTGACTAGAAGATCTGAATTCGCTTTGTATTATCCCTAATTCATGCCAGAGGAGTCTAGAAGTGCCAGTTTGGCTGGGTCTGCTAAAGAGACTACAAGCTCTTTTTGACCAAATTTAGGAGAAAATGTTTACATCCCCCACTGCTTGTGACTTCCATTTGAGGAGCACTTTGGCATGTTAACTAATCAAGTATATCAGCATTTAATTGCTGTGTTTAATAAATCACCTCTGATTGGGACAAAACTGGTAACTGCAGGCTTAGTTTCTGTTTTTGGCATAAAAACAGTATACCAAATAGTGAAACAAGATGATGATACGTGCAGAACTCAGGTTATATATCTTTAACATTTTGACAAACATAATTTTAAATTGTCAATTTTTTGCTGTTGTTCAAGCAGTTTGTAGAACAATAAACTTTTTTATGTTTCAATGAGAATTTTAAATGAAAGCATTAAATTTTTTTCAAAAAGTGCAGTGTGCCCATTCATTTTTCAGTCAGCTTTAGATGCAAGTTACCATCTGGTACTGGGTCAGACAGAGTGGATGTCAAAACACTTTTTCTTCTGGAAGAGTTAGAAGATTATCTAAAGTTTTTTGAGAAATTGGGCTGTAAAGCTTGTAAGAGTTCTCTCACCATATTCATGGTTCAATGTTACACCACATGGGGAAACATTTAAACTTGTGGCTATTAGCCCATTGTCCTGGTACAGTGCTTTCTATGTAAGGAAGGGCTCAGTCTGCTCACTGCTGCTTTGCACTATGCTCCTGGCTGTCTCAGTTGTCCTCCTGAGATCTGAAGCATTTATATATTTGGCTGTTCGGCAACTTTCTGACATAGATGATTCCTCGTTACAGCTTTGTCTTCAGAGGGGATAGTTTCAGAAGGGATTTCAGTTTTCATTTTGGACATACAAAAGCTGGAATTTCAAAACTACTCAGGTCTGTTCCATCAGCCCAGAAAAGCAAACTGTCTCTTATATGAGACAACAAAACAGAACCTCATGCCAAGCCTGACAAGCTACGATACAGCAAGTGAGTGCCATGGTCATGGCTTGGTGACCCCAGATTCATACTGGCAAACCCCAGATTCAAACTGGTGTGCATGAGGACAGAATTAGACACACATGTTTTAAATCAAGCACTGATTTGAAACTCCCCCAGGCTTAGAAGCACACCAGACACTTGGCAGCACCCAGCCTGTACACTCAGAAGAAATGCAGCCATGGAGCAGCAGGTTATTTGCCAACCATGTTTTTCCTCATCTATGAAGTGTATGTGGCATGAAGAGTCCCAGTGATCCCAACCGTGGATATGTAGTTTTTGCACAGCGGTCTTATCTGGATGTGACTGTCATGGAGCATGGTCTTGCACTTGCTCAGTAAGGGACTAGAAAATAATTTACATGGCTCTGGAAAGCAATTGAGGGAAGGTGTCTCCATATCATAGAAGAAGCCTCCCAGAACTTTTCATCAGCCTTGAGCATATTACTTTGCACTGCTAGGACTGAAATGGCAGTTAAAAGTCTTCCAATGCCTCAGCAGAGCTATGTGTTTTATTGGGGTAACCAAGGCTATAGCTGGTTCCACTGTAGGGGAAAGCACTGGCAGGATACATCTACGTCCCTCTCTGTTGAGATCGTGAGGAAGGGATAGAGGTGCAATAAAGCGCATGCTGGTTTATTGTTGCTTTTTTTAAGTTTCAGTGTTTATCCCTCCTTTCTGGAGGAGACTAATTTCATACTGTACATCTCTAAAATGAGCATGCAATTTGCATTTGAAAGCTCCCGCTACATTCACGTCAGACTGAATGCAAATACAACACTTGAATTTCTCCCCAGATAAGATACTTTAAACTGTGGCATTCTTACCGCAGACAAAGACAGCCTATCTTTCAAAGTTACCGTTATCATTTTCATCGGCCTCTCCTCACCACCCTTTTATAAAATGCCATTTTTAACTAAATGGAACCAAGTGAAAGCTGGGATGTAGCAGATCTGACTTTGATGTCTCAGTGATAAGGATTTAATCCTGTGTTTTCCGCAGTTGAGAAAAGCATTGTCAAGGTATTTTAAAAATAGATCGTTTTTAAGGGTGTTTTCCTCTCCCAGCTGCAATAACCCCTTTGTTGGGACTCTGAAGCTGCAGCAGTTCCTGATGGAGGACAGGCTGAAGAATGAGGCAGGAGGACCTCAGGGCAAGAGTTCTGATCTTTCTTTCTACCTCTGGATATTCTGTAAAACCTGAGCAGGTTGTTTTGCCTCCCTCACTCCTCAATCTGGAAAATGCTACTTCACCACCAAACCTCCTTCCCTGCACCCAGAATTTCCTTAGCACTTTTCCTCTCAAAGCTCTTTTTGGAGTTAGGCAAGGCATGAGATTAAGACATTTAGGTTCAGTTCCCACCTATCACAGACTTGCTGCCTCCTACCATCACCTCAGCATCCCCCCAGCACTGCATACATTTCTGCAGGTGAAATGGAAATCTGACAATGCGCTGAGCTTTTGGGAGGGTAAAGGAGGAAAGTTCTTCTTGGTCAAAACATAGCAATGTGATTGTGGGCATCCAACAACCCTTTGAAATAGGAGAGGTACACTGGGGGACAGCGGTTACACTGGGGGACAGCGGTAACCCTGGCCATTACTGCAATGACTTTGCTTGGAATAAAATCCGAAGGGCTGGGACCCCCAATAGACCTCTGCACTCTGGCTGTACTCATGGCCTCAGCAATTCTGGCTCGACTCAGCAGCATGTGCAGGCTTGGTGCATTTCATGCAGTAGCCCGTTGGGGAAGTGGCTGTGGTGTCTGTGGAAATGCAAGAAAAGCCAGCTTTATAGCATCTGTGGGACTAACAGGTTGAGCTACACAGTAAGCGAGATACAGGTGTAGGGGAAGGCAGGGGGTGGGTTGGGGGTGAGCAGGATGCATTTTCTTCCACAGTGATGACCTAATGGGACATTCATACCTCTGCAGGGCATCTTAGGGTAGCAGTGCCTGGCTTTAAACTCCCAGTGATGCCAGGCACATGTAAGGAGTGGCAGGGACCTCTGACAGTCCTGCTTTCTTCCCACCCCCTGGGGTGAAAGCAGTCTTGTTACTTTGCAGCCCTCGAACTGTCCTGGTGGCTGCTGCATAGGAGCATGTCAGGGGGCAGATAGCTCTTGGATTTGATGAATATGAAGGTCATTATTGAGCAGAAGCTAGACAGGAAAAAAGGCAAACCTCTTACTGTCACTCATTCTGTAACCAGTGTGTGGCTTGAGGTTTAAAAAGCATGTTTCATTGGGAGTAATCAACCCTGATACAACACTGTTTCTGGAGGAATAGGTCTCTTGGCAGGGGACAAGTCACCCACCTGGAGAAGGCAGAGAGAGAGGCTTTAAAGAAGAAACGAGCATTTTTCTGCATGGTCCCAGTAGCTCTTTTAGCTCAGGGTGGGAAGGGGGAATGTGCAACAGTCTGCAGTACCCTGTCTGTATAGACGAGTTTGTGCTATGCAGATGCCAGCAGGGAAGTCAATGCAGATCCTGAGGAAGGCTGGGTGGGGGGAGCAGCCTGGACAAAATAAGCTCACTCAGAAGTTTGCGGTTTGCCTCACCTGAACCTTGGGGGTCTCAGCTAAATACAGCAAGCTCGTTTCTGGCTCCCAGTCCTCAGATTATGCACACCTCAGACCTAGCAATGTGCATAGGAACAATGTGTTTGAATGAGCATAAATGCAGCGCAAGATGTCCTGAGAACCTTTCCTTGATCATGCGCCATTTTGAATTCTGGCAACAAGCCCAAAGCTAATGCAATGAGAGCAACTATGTACTACAAATTTCCCTTCCCTTGCCCCTTCACAATAGCTCTTTCAGTGTTTGCATTCCTTGTGCTCAAGTTCTGTGTCCTGGCCCCCACAGACATGCTGAAAATCATCAGCGTAACCGTTACTGCAGAGCCATTAGCATTTGTAGCTCCAGCCTGGGGCAAGTCCTCAGGATAGTTGTTCATTGCCTGCAGGGGTGAGGAACGAATGCTGATTTCCAAGTTCTTGCTAAACAGTCCTTTAACTTGAGACTGAAGATGGTCCCACTCTGAAATCTTACCATCTTTCCCTACACAATGGGTCCTGGTCATGACAGGGTCATCTAGGTACAATACGAGCAGAAATAATCACAGTAATGATTGTATGGCAGAGCCATCCCAGGTTTTTACTAAAGATTTTCAAAGCAATGTATGCAAATCTATGACTGAACCAGCCTTTCCTGAGCTAGCAGCTCTTCTTTTTATATAATAACATATTCCCTCAAATTCATCTTTGATTTCATTATTTGTCAGACCACCCCACTCTTTTCCAGTTGCGGATATGCTATTTCTGAGGTTTCCTACCAAGATAGTCAGTCTGGATGAGTCCTCTGTAATTAGAGTAACATTATAATGCTGCTCAGAGTGTCACATTTGGGGCTGAGAAATTATGATCTTTTCCCACTATGTTTTCATCTTGTTTGCAGGGTAATAAGGAAAACATTATTTACCAGTTTGTACTATGGTTACTTCTGTTAATTCCCAGTCATTAGTACTCAGAAAACATCAAGCACTACCTAATTTTCTGATCACTCCATTTTCTCTAATGGATTAGAAGGAAATAGCTGAAAACCCATTCTGCTGATTGTGAGAGTCTAGCAAGATTTTAATTTATTGTTCCCTTATTACAGCACCAACTTGCATTTGGCTTCATGCATAAATATTGGAAATTCACAAATTCACAGGCAAGATTTACTAGGGAGGAAGATTCATTGGCAGAAAGAAAAAAGAACCCTTTCACAGCAAACAGGGAGAGCCTGGCTCTGGTATCCAGAGTAAGCAGGTGGTGGTCAGGACTTCTGAGTTCTATGCCAGGCTCTGCCATCCTGGGAAACCAGCCATCTCTGCCTCAGTTCCTCTCTCTGTAAGCATCATGAAGCTTGCCTATCACAAAAGGTGCGTTGAAGTTTCGGTAATTCACACACTGAATGAAACTTGCACCTCTGCAAACACTTCCCACTGCAGAATCTCAAAAAAAAAATTTTTCCCACTTTTATTAATCCCACCCTGGGGTGCCTGGAAACTTGCAAATACTCCTGGGAAGCCAGCATGCAGCGAAGAAGCCGGCCCATAACTGCATCTTCCAATACAGACAACCTGCAAGCCAGACCTGGACTGCTCATAGAGGGGTAAAAACGTCTTCCTGCAGAGTTGTGTTAGGTCCTGGAGCCGCTTGTTCAGTGGCCACTTTCTATTCGTGGAAGAAAACCCTGCAGAGCTCAGTGGTGACTGTTTCAAATTCTTAAGGAGCTCCTCATTGGAAGCTGGACCATGGCAGCAGACACTTTAGCAGGTGTGCTTGAATCACTGTGGACTAGGGGCATAACATCAGTGGCTCTGTATTATACACAAGTTATTTCTTGGGAATG